GGCTTGCACTTCTAATAGGGAGAAAGACGTACTCACCCAAGCACTCGGAACTAAGGAGCACCCTAGTCGCACTAGAGGAACCAGTGTTGTTCCTTAGAAACTAGCATTCCCCCAAGAATCTAACACTTACCAGAGCCGCTCGAGGGGTAAGCGGAACAGGAGGTAGAGTACTTGAGGAGACTAAAAGAGATGGAAGACAGAATGGAAGCACAGATTGAGGCGACTGTTGAAGCACGAGTCGAGCAAATTTTGCTGTCCAAGGGGTCAGGAGTACCACAAAACCCTACTCCTACTGCCTTTAGCCCATAGTTTAGGGGTTGCAGCAGCTACGGATCTACCCCGCTCGATGAAGAAGAGGCGAATGTGCCTCATCCGATGGACGGCATCACTGAACCCATCAATGTCAAGTTGTACATCCGTTAGGAATCGACAAAGGATAAGGTGGCGCTTGGCCAGGCCTGGCCTACGGGAGACGGGACAATTAATGGCCACCCAATTCCACAGGGGTACGCTCGCATCACCATTGACAAAATACTTGATAAGAAGTTTAACAAGATACCCATTGAGTGCCCTGTAGCGGAAGACAGGCCAAAACTTGGTCAAAACAAGGGCTCTCAAGTGGCCTGGCGCAAGCGCTTCGTTAAGCTTAACCATCAATTGTCCTCTGATGATGAGGACGACTACGAGTCTTCACCCACCCACAATGATCACTCACCATCTCCCAACAGAGATCACTCCCCTCCTCATCCAGAGCCATCACCCCCGAGAAGATAGAGGTCTCCTTCTATTCCTCCTCATCCGACTCCATCTTCATCAGCCCCGAGAAAAGAGACTCCTCCTCCTCCTCCTCCATCTTCATCAGCGCCGAGAAAATAGAATTCTCGTCGTCATCCTCCTCCTTCTCCTTCACCTCAGTCCAAAACAAGATCAAGGACATCCTCGCAGTCACAGAAAAGGTCCTTGGATTCAGTCGCTAATGCTCCCAAAGTGGACTAACAGAAAAGAAAAAGGTCATTCAGTGGCAGCGTTACCACCTTGATGAAAGAAAAATTTACAGCACACATCTCGAAGGAAGATTGTGTTATTTTCTTCAATCTCTATGCCTCATTGCCTTCGTTTTTGTTGAAGTCTGAATTCGAAAGGCAAACACAGAATAAATATGCTACAACAAGAGACGAAGAAATACACAATAAAGATTTAAGGAACATACAGAAGTACGTCAAAGACAACCCAGCATTAACCATGGAAGAGGCTGCGAACATCTATTATGATGTACAAGGGACGGGAACACCGGCAATGAAGTATGAAAGGGGCAATCTTTTGGTTCCCGGTCATGAGTATAAAAATCTGACAACATATATGTGCCAGTTACATGAATATTACATGGCTCAAGCAACAGAGACGGACAACTTTGGTTTTGAGGTTATTATCCGTTCGCCACATGTTTTCCATTATTCTGAAGAAGAGAAGTTCGATGTCGAGTGGGAGTGCTTGTTACAGCTATACCAGAAACATTGTCTCGATGTTCAAATGTTGACGCTGTGGACTATGTAAGTACCCTACACGCACGATATTACAATTAACTACTCTCTCGAGACACAAATTGTTAACTTTTGAGCATTTTCCAAGATTTTATGTAGGTGTATAGCAAAATTTTGCATTCTAAAAAGCAAATGGGATTATATAGGCTTCCTGGACCCCTTGCGAGTCAATCGGCGTGTTCGTTGGTTGGTTTCTGGACTGATTTGGGCTGGTTGGTGCTGGTTTTTTATGAGAGGAAAACACTGTTGGCTGGTTGAATAAGCCTGGCTGAAACCAACAAGCGAACAGGGTGAATGAGAGGACATGTCTAGGCCTCCATGGATGTGACGTGGAAGACCTGAAACAGAGATTGATTGCTGTTTTCAACAAATTCACGACGAAGAAGAAAACCCACATACTTCTAGCCTACAACTGCGAGTATGTGTTCTCGGCTTTTAATTTTATGCTTCTTTTTTTGTTAAGATTATTCGATAATTAGGATTATGTGATTGCAGCAATCATTTCGTCTTTATTTGTGTCAATCTTGCCAAAAATCTAATCGAGGTGTGGGACTCGAAGAAAAAACCATTTCATCATCTGCATGCACGGGTGGCAGTGCTGAATTAGTAAGCGATCCTAATAACATATTATTTTCTAATCACACATACCGCTTTCTAATGTTTCTCCCTTTAATGTTGCTTAGTGTCCGAAGAAGACATATCGGTGGGACGTCGGTCCCATTCAAGGTTGTCAAAATGGAGGGGAAGTACCTATCACAGCCGGCGGGAATCAACGAATGCGGCTTTTATGTAATGTGGGCAATGCTTCGCTACATCGGAGGGAAATCGGAAGAAGCCGATAAGTTGGTGTGTATAATCCCCATTTCATTTATGTTTGTTAGTAATTCAATAAAATGATTTACTGTTCCTCTTTGGATATCATCTTTTTTGAACGACAGCGCAAGAAATATAACCACCAAAGGTTGTTAGACATGGAGATCGTCGCACTACAATTGGAGCTGGCAAAATTCATCTTAGCCGAGGTATTGAAAAAAGATGGAGTATTTTCTATTGCACAATCCATGAAGTACAAGGACCAGTATGGCCTAGAGCGGCTCGCCAGATTATTGTAAGAAGTTCGAGAAGCATTGCACAATCTGTGAAGTCTGAGAACATTTCTTTTTTATTTTAAAGGATCGAGATCTGGATAAGAACATTTGAACTGTAACCGTAACATTTGCAATGTTTAATATTGATGGACCTATCGTCTATGTAGCGTATATAAAGCGAACCCTGATTCCATGAAAAAATATAAATTAAAATCAATTATAAAACAATAAAATACGAACGGGCCATCACTGTCGGTTAGCAACGAGCCGGCAGTGTTGTCGTAACCATCACTGCCGGTTATCAACAAACCGACAATGTGCTCAACACTACCAGCTTGAGCCATGAACCGACAGTGTTGGCTTGCTCAACACTGCCGGCTTGAGCCATGAACCGACAGTGTTGGCTTGCTCAACATTGCCGGCTTGAGCCATGAACTGACAGTATAGGCTGGCTCAAGACTGTTGGCTTGAGCCAAGAACCGACACTCTTGAAGCAACCATCACTGTCGGTTGGGACTACGAACCGACAGTGTTGTTCAACTAGACGTTGCCTGTAGATCAGTGTCGGTTTTTAAGAACCGACAGTGATGTCAACCCCCCATCACTACCGGCATGCCACTGTCGGTTCAAAATCCGGCAGTGAAGGGGGTTTTTGAACCAACAGTGATGTCCAGATCTAAGGTAGTGTATGTCCCCATTGAGGCGAGTCCTTGGATTTCTGGTCCTCCACAAGCCAAATAAGAACTCAAGCTTGATCCCCCGATGTGGGTGCTCGTAAATGACCCGTTGAATCAACAAGGCACTCCAACTGGCCTCTTGATTCTAGTAGAGTTGCCCTTCACGATCTCCCATGGGGTGAGCACAAAAACCCTTCACAACCAACTTTGACAGAGCCCTGTACAACCACCAACAAGAAGTGTTCAATGATGCCTCGCTGCTCCAAGCCATCTAAGTGGTGGCAACCACCAAGAGTAACAATAAAACTGCAGCAACACGATGAGCTAGTCCCACTAGATGCAAACTCTCTAAGCAAATGCACTAGATCTCTCTCCAATCTCACTCTAGATCAGTCTTGAGCTATGCAAGCGAGTGGAGTGTGTTCTTGAGCTCCTCAAGGGTGTGTGTATCAGTTTAAATGGCCAAGAGAGCCTCAAGGGACGAACACACCTTCTATTTATAGTTCCCAACAAAAACTAGTCATTATGCTCTATTTGGGGATAGTCTGCAGGGTCATAGGAAAAGTCTAGTGACCATCAGAGATCCATCACTCTAGAAAGGATTATGAAAATCCAACGATAAGATTTGATTCAAAACTAGTTGTTGGAGACCCTAACCTCTGTCTGAGCCATCACTAGAGAAATCTGGTGGCCTCTCAGAGCCCTGCATGCGCGCTATGCAATGTTACTGTGCAACGGTCGAATGACCTTTTCTCCACTGCTTCTATGCTGACCCCCCACCCCAGACAAATCCAGTGGGTCTACAGACCTTCTGTAGAGCCAACTCAGGAGCACCACGAATCTGGATTGCTTTCCATTTGCAATTTCTTCTTCTCATGTTGAGCACTGGCTTCATGTGGTGACCATCATCTCCACCATCTCCTAGCCTTGCTCAACTCCAAGTGTGGACCTATCTCAATCATCTCATTAGAAACATTAGTCCACTAGTTGTCATTCAATTACTTAAACCAAACTAGAGATTTCATATACTACACTTGATACATCGATCACTAGTCGAACATAAAAAAATGACGATAGTTGGCATACTAGGTAGGGGACCATTGCACCCAGATTCATCTATATAGATCATATGAGTTTCTTTACCAACATTGTCTATGGCATCGCTCGGCATGTTATAGCATCGACAGCTATAGCGCTCAGCCTCTTGTGGCGAAACTCAGCATCGTCTTGTGGTGGCACTCGACAACATGCGGCGAACCACTATGGCCCATTGCGGCCGCCACAACACGCTGCAGTACTATAATAATTTTTTTTAAATAGATGGTTAAAGATAGTAATGCTTGACTTTGGATAAACATAATGTGACATGTACAACACAATGGAGGGAGTAATAACAATGCCACGCAAAACACAAGTTGCACATATGCCCCCAAATTCTGTTCCATCCAAGAAATAAAGTTCCAACTCATCATCATTGGCATCGTCCAAATTTCAGTTCCACAAGACTCCATCAACAAGCACAAATAAAGCACATACGTACATCACTTAATTGCCAGCTTGTTTCCCTATGCATCGGTGCGCCCCTCGCCCACCCAATTTATTTCCTGTCTTTCTCTAGCACTTACGACGTGGTGCTCCAAGTCACCCACGCAAATCAGCACCAAGAAATCGATCGAAGGGCACCGTCGGAAGGAATGGCTTCGTCCAGCAGCAGACTCCTCACAGCCGCCATCCTGCTCTCCGTGCTCGCAGCCGCCAGCGCGAGCGCCGGGAGCTACTGCGTGCCGGGGTGGGCCATCCCGCACAACCCGCTCCCGAGCTGCCGCTGGTACGTGACCAGCCGGACCTGCGGCATCGGGCCGCGTCTCCCGCTGCCGGAGCTGAGGAGGAGGTGCTGCCGGGAGCTGGCGGACATCGTGACGTACTGCCGGTGCGCGGCGCTGAGCATCCTCATGGACGGCGCGATCCCGCTGGGCCCGGACGCGCAGCTGGAGGGCCGCCTGGAGGACCTGCCGGGCTGCCCGCGGGAGGTGCAGAGGCGCTTCGCCGCCACCCTCATCACCGAGGCCGAGTGCAACTTGTCCACCATCAGCGGCGTCGCCGAATGCCCCTGGATTCTCGGCGGCGAGCAAACGGTGCCCTCCAAGTAACTGTGAAGAGCTCAAGAGCATCCTACATGCATGCTGCATATGGGATGAGCTTGTAGCTAGCTCCCATGGCCGAATAATAAGCACAGCAAGGAGAGGAGATGATGCATGCATATATATGCACCTATCGTGATTTCTGAATGCAATTGTCTCGGATCTTCCATCCGGAACAATAAATAAACGGGATCCGGCTTTGTTCTTGTGATATAAATGATTCTTGTTAGGCTTCGTCAGTTCCCTGGGAACAATTCCTAGTCAGAATGGTTCCTAGACATGGATAAAGTGAATCCATCCATGCATGTCACTGGATCCTGTTCCCAGTCGGTTTGGTTCAATTCCAAGTGTTCGTAGGTGTGGCTTCAATCCGGGTCGAGAAGGGGGTCGAAAGGCCTAGAATGGTCTGATTTCATTCCAGATCGGAACTATCCGAAAAGCCATTCAAGGTCGATCCAATTTCAATCTAGGCCAAGTAACTTTAGGTGAAACGGGGGCGTGTTCCAAGCTGTTCCAGGCCAAACCGAATGAGGCCATAGTTGGAAGTAGCTAGGCTAGCTCCGATCGTGGCGAAGATCTAATCTCCCAACGTGCATGAAAAAATGTGAGCGATTTACTTCAACAGTCCCTCCTCTTAGTCTTATGTGAAGGTTCTCTTACAACTGAGAAGTGGAACATAAGAAATTAAAGGTGAAGTACTGAAAAGCTGCCACTTGATGATGTAATGATCTGCGTGCTTTTTGCTGAATGGAGTCTTGTGAAACAGAAATTTGGACGATACAAGCTATCAATTGAAGATTTGTTGGAACAGAATTTGGGGGTACACTGCAACCGACCAGTGTTTTTCTTGGCAGCACAAGAGACTTTGCAGCCATTTGTGGTGACCATATACGTGTCATTTAGAGTTTACAGCCCTTTTAATTTGCAGCCGCACGTGACCGATGTGCAATTGTTCTCTTCTACGTTTCATTTGTCTTAGGTTTGATAGTACAGAATGACATTTTTGCATCATATTCTTGAAAATAAAAAGAAATCTAATAATAGTGGTCTACCATAGCTCTTAGTCAATAGTAAGCACACATTGGAGAGCATAACTAAGTTATAGATTTATCTAGGTTTATCTATTGATTTATCTAGGTTTATCTCGATAAAACTATAACTCAGGCCATAGATGAATATAGATGGCCAACGGGTCGGGCCGGCCCGGCCCAGCATGGGCCCGTGAAAGCACGGGCCGATAGGGGTCAGGCCGGCACGGCACACCGTGCCTCCCGGGCCGTGCCTCTTAGGGCCATGGGCCTGGCCTTCGACCTAGGCACGACACTATGGGCCATTTTTTGTGCCGTGCCGGCCCGCGAAGCACGACTAGAATTACAGGCTGTGCCAGCCCACGGCCCGTTACCCTTGCATTCACAGAATCGAACAGATCACAGTTTCACACATTCACAGAATGTCCAATACATTCACATATCACAGATCACAGTTTTATACATTCACAGAATCAAAGTTTCATACATTCACAGATCACAGTTCCATACATTCACAGAATCAAAGTCCAAATGTCTGATATATTCACAGTCCAATAGAGATACCAAACTCCAAAGCCAACAGATAACAGAAATAACCAAAATGAGTTGTTTAGTGCAATACTGCCTCATTAAAAATCTTTCTAGATAAAACTCATCCTTGTGAGAAACCCTAGAAAGGAAAATTGGGTGCAGCCAGCTCTTAATTAACCATTGTTCAAATGATAGACAAGTCTTTCACAGTCACACACACTCTTTCACAGTCACAGATCACACACACACACACCCTCAGGAGTCAAGCCTCAACCTCAGTACCTCACTAAGTACCAGGAGCACCACCAGCAGGTTCATCTTCATCAAGGTACAAGTTCTGGAATGAGTCTTCAAGCTCTTGGTTGTCAACAGCATGATATTTCCTTTTTTCTCCTAACTCCCAGTCCTTTATGCAGGTCAGCATCTCTACAGTCTCTGGTGACAAGCACCGCCGTCGTTCCTCAATTATCCTACCTGTCAAACTGAAACAAGACTTTGAAGAGACAGTAGATATAGAAACTGATATGATATCTCTAGCCATTATAGACAGGATTGGAAAGGTTAGCTTATGGTCACGCCACCACAGAAGTAGGTCAAAATCATCCTCATAAGAAGTGACATTGTCACTGTCTAAGTAAGCTGAGAGCTCACAAACAGTAGAAGTAAATGAAGATGAAGTGGCAGGGAGAGGGGAAGGACCAACAACACCTGATCCACGCCTAAAGATTCTTCCCCATGCCTATTTTTTCTTACCTGTATGATGTGATGGTTGTGCAACCCTTTGAGACCTAGCTGCATCAAACTTGCTCTCATATTTGTTAAACAGTTTATACAATTCAGTTTTGACATCAGCATAGTATGAACTGTATTCAGAAGCAGTGTATTCACCAAGTAATTGCAGCACATTAAAGAAACCTCTCATCTTAGCTCTAGGATCAAGAATGAATGCATATGAATATAACAGAGGTATGTCCTACAAATATTTAAGGAACTTAAGCTTCATAGGATATACAATAGCTCTTATATTTTGATCTTTTTCACATGCATGCAATTGGACTTGTAGGATAATAAACACCAGACAGAACAATAGTGGAGTCATAGAAGAGTTCTAGGAACCCCAATAACTTTTCAGCAAAATACCAATAATTTGTAGTCAACAATTGTGAACCATAATGGGAATTAATGAACACAGAAAATACATTCTTGTATGGAACCAAGTGTTTAAGCATTAGGTAAGTAGAATTCCATCTAACATCCATATCCAAGCCAAACTTTCTAGGTCTAACACTCTTAGCATTACAGTATTCCTTGAACAATGCAATTCTTTGATTTGAGAAATTTAAGAAGTTAATTGCAGTTCTAAAATCTTCTGTGTAAGGTTTCAACCTCTTTAATCCAGATTTTACAATAAGATTAATGATATGACAAGCACAACGTTGATATACAAGACTGTACTTACGGTTACTAGGATCCAAAGAATCAGGACCCAAGTAACAAGCAAATAGAGGTGTCAAAGTGTTCATAGCCTTAGCATTAGAAGAAGCATTGTCTAGAGTGACAGAAAAAATCTTGTCAATCAGACAATGCTCCTCAACCACAACAGCAATTCTTTTAGCAATGTTTTCACCAGAATGTTTAACCTCAATCAGCCTAAGACCAATAACCCTTTTCTGTAACTCCCAATCAACATTCACATAGCGAGCAACAACACTAATATAGTCCTTCTTAGCATTACCAGACCAAATGTCTAAAGTCAAAGCAACAGAAGAAGCAGCAGGCAACATAAAATTCTTAAGCTTATCATGGCGTTCAGTAAACAGCTTACCAAGATCTCTAGTGGTGGTATGTCTAGAAACCTTGGTAAACCTAGGGTTATGAGCAAAAACAATGTAATCCTCCCAGTCCTGCCTCACCTATACCTAATGGAAGGTCAAGCCTAACAATCAACCGACACAACTCAGATCGAGCAACAGCAGGATTATAGTCACAGTTATGCACAGATCCATCAGGATTGAAAGAAAGCCTAGACTGAACCCTAGCAGCGTGATCATCCTTTTTCCTATAAGATTTCTAGTGCCTAATCAAATGGTCAGTGCCAGCAGAAGATCTAGCAGACAATTTACTCTTACACATTTTACAGATAGCAGCAGTTCGAACTTTTGACCATTCATAGTCTCATAGATCTCATCAAAATCAACTCAGACACTAGATTTACGCTTACCAAGGCATGAGGTACCATCTGTGCTGTTGGAGCCGACCGGCGTTCTTATCACCGTCGCCGACGGTGCCAGCTCCGCCCCTCCACCACCGTCGCCACCGTCTAGATCGATCGGAGCAGAGTCGCTACCGACATCGATACCCAACAACGCAGCAGCGTCGTCACGGATGTCGTCGTCGTCCTCGGGGACCAGCCCTACCGCGATCAGGTCATAGTTGCCGGTGAGTGGATAGACGACATCGTCGTCATCTGCCATGGCGACCTTGACCGCGGACGGCTGATCTCCAGCACCGTTCCTCAATGGTGCGCATGGCCGCCGTGCCCGGTCTATGCCACAGGAAGAGGACGACGAGGCATCGGCAACCGACCTGCACGGAGGAGAAAAACAGAGAGTCAGAGAGATAGAGATAGAGATCTAGAGTCAGTTGTTCAGTGGAAGAGACACAACAAGTGAAGAAGATAGATCTAGGGTTAGGGTTAGTGGAGTACCTGCACAATCGGAGCCCAAGGCCGGAGATGATGAGGGCCACCCAGAGGAGAGACACCAATTAGAAACGACGACGAACGGCGGAGGAGGGACGGACGGGAACACGGTCACGAACTCACATAGTTCACCGAGAACGAGAGAGGAGAGAGGGAGAAGGGAGGAGAGTGGAGACAGGGTCAGATAGGCGGATCGAGGTCACCGGAGTCAGGGACGACGGACGAGATCAGTAGATCACGAGAGAGAGCTCAGATTCGCCAGATCGTGGATGCGGCCGATGCAGGCGAGAGAGAGCAGAGATTGCGCCGCCGTGAGCCGACGAGCGAGTGGGGATTAGGGTTAGGTTTGGGAGCGGACTGCGGAGCCGGCCGCCGGCGAGGCGACTGGCGAGCGGGGATCGGCTGCGCCACGGCGAGCGAGTGGGGATTAGGGTTAGGGGTGGGAGCGGAGAGTGGAGCGGAGCGGGCGAGGCGACTGGGCGAGCAGGGACTCCCCGCTTATATATGCGGGGCGTCCGGTTTTGTAGCAGGCCGTGCCGTGCCGGCCCACATGCCTAGGGTAAGGCCCAGGCATGGCCGGCTCCTCCGGGACGTGCCAGCCCGGGCCAGCTAGCCGAGGGGCCGGGCCGTGCTTGGGCCGGGCCAAAAAAACGGGCCTTGGGTCGGGCCGACGGGCTCGGGCTACATGGCCAACTATGTACATGATCCAATGAACATGAAGTTTTTGCTACATCTCGTGCATTCAATGATTATCCCACTATAAAAACTTCACCATAATTGGACCATATAAATTACAGTTATGAATTAATTACAGAAAAATATAGATCTAAAGCTACAACAAAACTACTAAAGCATACCATATCATATGTTTACTTTGTAGATCTACTCATATGAAGTCCAACACAATTGGATTACCATTTTATGATTTTTCTATGATTTATTATGAGTTTTTAAAGATTCAGTCGAAATAAACATAAAAGAACAAAGAAAAACCACCGAGAGAAACAGCCTTGGAGATCAAGTGGCCGGTTTTGGGAGATAAGGGATGAACTATTTCTGGTTTTAGAGTTGAAGGAGGAAAAACTAACTTTTACAAAAGTTGAGGAAGATAAAATGGATTTTTTCCTTGTTTCGTCAAAGGTAATGCAAGTAGCTCAAAATCACACTCAGCCCAATAACCAATCGGCCCATGCCCCTACAATTTCTCTGCTCGCAATTTTGCTCAGCTCCAGGGCATCTGCCAAGTGGCAAAACACTGCCAAGTGGGCCATTCCGCCTTTTTATGCAACTCCGATCCACTGTGTAGAGAAAAAATATCATATTTTCCTAAATCCAGTGATAAAGAGGATTGAGTAAAAAAAAAGGGCTTGTACAAAATCCTCTCTCAATCCCTTTTCTTAACTTTTTTTAATTAAGCAAAATTACCCATCAATTTCTCAGAGAAATGGTCCCAGCTAAGCCGTTGCCAGGCAACCGCGCCGGGGCAGCAGGGTCTGGGTCGGGTGACCGCCGCGCCAAGCCCCAGCTGGTGCGCCTACGCGTGCCGCAGCGGCGCACACGTTTTGCCACCACGCCGCGGGCGCGCTGCTTCCACTAGGCGTGTGAGAGGCGATCGAGCTGCACCGGGCAGTGCCGTCGGCGACCCGGCGTCAAGAGCGCCGAATGCTGGACGTCGAGGAGATGCGAGACAAGAAAGAGAGCATAGGGAAGGAGAGTGAGAGGGGGGAATAGAGTCAGTGACAAGTGGGTCTCAACATATGTCGTCAGCGGATGGAAGAACAGATGGACGACCGTACTGTGATCCGTTCCTAAACGAAAACCACTGGAAAACACGGCATGCATGTGCATGTTCAATTCCCTCTAGATGTGATGTGATTAATTAATCGTTCAACGCACAGATATATACACAAGCAGTACAATCATCTGCAACACCACCATCACTCGGCGTCGAGCGCGTTGCAGAAGGGCCTGCCGTGGACGGTTCGCAGGCGGCACTCGGCCTCCGTCACGACGGCGGGGGCGAAGCGGGCCTGCGCGGCGCGGCACCTCTGCTGTGCCCCCGGCTCCGCGCCCAAGACGAGGGGGTCCGTCTCCATCATCACCCGCAGCGCCCGGCAACGGCACTCCGCGGGGATGTCCTGCAGCTGGCCGCAGCACGTCGCCTTGAGAACGGGGAGCATGGCCACCACCACGTCGCAGCTCCGGCTCGCCACGTACCAGACGCACCCGGATAGTGGGCTGTACGGGATGGCCTTTCCCGGCACGCAGTAGCTCGGGGCGCTGCCGACGGCGGCCTCGGCACCGAGGACGACGAGCAGGACGGCGGCCGAGAGGACGAGGACGAGACGGCTGGTGCAGCACGCCATTCTTGGCGTCACTACTGTCTACTGCTACTGGATTTCTTCTTGGTCCAGCCTTCCTTTGCTGGCAAGATCCTAGATATGCACAGCACAGTGGTCAGTGGTGTATATATATATATATAGTGAGAATAGTCCGAGAGAAAGATCAGGATACACCTGTACAGATGATATATGTGCTTGGTTACTCTAAAGTCTGAACGGAGACAGTAAAAAAAAAGTCCGAATGGAATCTTGTAAAACCGGAATTTGGTGGATACAAGTCACCAGTGATTAAAGACTTGTCGGGAGTTGCAACAGAATTTGGGGGTATACTGCAACTGACGCGTGTTTCGCTTGGCATAACGCGTGTCTACTGCTCCTTCCTTTTGACCAGATTTATATAAAAAATATAAACATTCGTGATACAAAATAAATATTATTAGATTAGTTTTAGAATATATTTTCATAATAATTTATTTAGAGACAAATGCTAATGCTATTTACTATAAATTTGATCAAACTTACGCTAAATTAACCGGTACAGATATGATAGTTACGTTCTTTCGTGCACGGAAGGAGTACTTTGCAGCCGTTTATCTGGCTTTTAGCTCTAAATAAATATACGTGGCTGATGTGCCGTATTTCTCTTGTAGTACGTAGTAGTAGCTGTTGTTGTAACTTCTAAGTATTTAATTAGCCAGCTGATTTTTTTCTGGCTTTCAGCGTGTTTAATAATTAGACAGCTGCCCACGGCAAAATTTGTCTTGCAGCCAGCAAAATGCAGGTGTATAGTTGGCCGTCCGTTTGTATGTATAGCTTCGAGGTGCCAGTGTGCCATGGATTATGTCAGTCTCATTTCGTCACTTCGTTTGCGTTTGCCTGGCATTTTATTTTATTTATCACGGTAATACGTATACCAAAGTTTCACTCTAATTAAGTTCAAAACAAAGTTTCACTCTAATTATTTGAAATTTTATTAACGCGGTATAGCAAAAGCTTCAGCTTCACTACTCAACAGTTGGACCCGTATAGTTAAGAAGGATGTGTGGAAACTACTCCTAGTGTTTGTTTATACAATATAAAACAAATCCAGGGAATTCACAATCCAAGATCTATGGCGTTCGGTTTAAGAAATTAATATAGTAGACTATCATCATCAAATTTTTAGTTTGGTTATAATCGTCACTCCAGAAACATATATAACCACGGCACGCCATGGCACATCGTTGGTGGGACAAAACTGTTGACGCTAAATCCAGCCAACACATCAGCAATGGTACATCGTCCGAGACCACATACAGGATACAGCAGATTGGCCATACCGATTTGACGCTCGTTCTTCATCCGAAAGACTCGCAAACACCTCTCAGAAAGACCCATCGAGCAAGATCATAGTGCATAGTAGTGGTATCCTAGGATCGGTTAGGTCACCTAAACCACTGGTAAATCTCGTCGAAAAGTGTTGGACAGAAAGGGGTTGGAAAAATGTGAGACGGAAGACAAACATAAAGGTAGATGATCTTTCAATCGACTATGATCCTCTCATAAAAATAGAGGGTTCTCACCTCAATACGAAACTTATTCAAAGTATCTGAGCCAGTCACATGTCAGCTAGGCCCCCGAGTCGCTCTCCCATGGGAGCCGACTCGGGCGGCACTTCTCCACCGCCGTTGTCGGGCTCTCCATCGCGCCCCCTTGACCTAGCTGCTGCTAGAGCTCGACACCGGTGGCCCAGCGGAGGGTAAGGACGGCGACGGCTAGGATTCGTTTTTCTTCTTACTCCCTCCCTCTCTCCCACAACGCACCTGTTCTAGGATTCTGGCGTTCTTCGCGAGAAGCCTCGGCCAGCAGCACTTGTGGTCCGGGGCGCGCGGATCCATCCTTCCCCTACCCGGATTCGCTTTGCGGTTCCTGTGCGGACGAACAGAGCGGGTCTCCTCTCTCCCATGGGGCTCCTGTGCGAATGGTCGGCGCGCTCTTCGCAGGGGCCTTGGCTGGCGGCGCATCCGACCCTGGGGCGGGCGGATCCGGCTTTCCCCAGCCCGGATCTGCCCCCTCCGCGCGTTTTAGCCGGAGCGGGCCCGGGGTTGAGTTCCCCAGCCTTCATCGACGTCGATGGCGGCAGTCCAGTCCATGGCTCCTTTCGGGCCTAGTGGGGCTGGGACCGGATGTGGTGGTAGCGGTCAGCCTTGGCTTTCCTTGGTCGGGTCTGGCATTCCTCTGCTGCATCCGACGCTACCGACGCAGTAGGTTCGTGAGCGGGGTGTGGAGGTTCGCACTATGAGGTTTTGATCTTTGGGGACCTTTCGGCGGGGGGTTGGGATGGTGGTGAGCCGGGTGATTGGGGCTTCTTTTGATCCTGGCCCTCTTCTCCCCGCCACCTGCTTTCCCCTTGCTCGGGCTGGTTTCAGTCACGCTACTTCTATGGTCTCTCTGGCGACGGCTATGTGGAGGTTGCATGAGGTCAGGGCGAAAGCTTGAACGTCGACGTCCGCGGACGCCATGCCCTCCTTGGAGGCGTCCTTTCCTACCTTTCCTCATAGCGTGCTGGATTTTGTACGTGAAAACCGTCCCTCGGCGGGCTAGCTTGTCGACGCTCTTGGCATCGTTTCCTTCTTGAAGGCTTTGCTAGGCGATCCAGTCTTTACTGTGGACCTCTTGCCGCCTGTCATGGCGCTTCCACGTGGGTGATGGTGCTCAGTGCCCAAGGGCAATGGTGCTCGGTTCTCCAAGTTGTTTTTTTTTTCTAGTGAGGTGTTTTAGTTGGTTTTTTCTTCGGTGAGTTGTTGTTAGTTGGGTCGATTCGACCAAGTTGCAAGTGGTGGCGTGAGTTGACAGTTGTACTAAAGTTGTACAGGATGAGTGGTGCACTCTCCTCAGTTGTATATTTTTTCTAGTCCAATTTCCATTCAAAAAACTAGGTTGGCACTTGACTTTTTTCTTTCTTCGTCTAATAGAAATCACCTCAAAACTTTTGCCGTCCTTTCTAAAAAAAATACAAAACTTATTCCATATAAAATCTATACAATCGAATGAGTTTCAAACAAAAACACAAAGGAATATGTCTAGCCAACAACGGGTTGTTTTAGCCCCTTCTAACAACCAGATTTTTTTCCATGCACTTCCACTTGTCTTATAGCTATATTTACACCGCTTTATTACTATATTTACGATGATTTCTTCAGTGTAATTTATTGGATATAGTGATGTAATTTGGATATAACACAACTTTTATTTCTATAGATTGCAAATCTCATGCCAATTTTTTTAGAAAAATCTACAAATTATTTTTATAAATTATAGATATCAGAGAATATATATCAAATTATTCATAAATTTTAGAGCAAATAACAAATTGTCCATGAATTGCGGTGGAATCCATCAGTTGCTGCATGCATTCGTCGGGCCTACGGCCGGCGGGGACCACAGCGGGAGCAGGCTATGGACTCCGGCTGGCCACGTACCAGCTAGCGGCAGTGCGGCAGGCGGGCTGCGCGGGAAGGCCTGCCCCGGCACGCAGTAGCCCGGGGATCTGGCGGCGATGGCGCCCACGAGGAGGAGACCGATGCTGGACCTGGATCCCTCTACTTGGTCTCTGATCCGATCCTACGAGTATTAGATTAGGTGCAACTGCGGATGATTTGTATATATGTTGCTGGTTCTTGTACTGCTTATGTAGTGAAAGAAAGACCACACAGTGGCAAAGTGATCTGATGTATCATGTCGTGCTTTTTTTTCCTCAATAGTCTTGCAAGCAAATTTGGAACAGAATTTGGAGGTGTCCGGCCTGCACGAGGAATTGCTGTACATGCTCCCTTTTTAACCATCATCATTTGTCTGACCATATCATGTCTGCCTTTCAGTTGCATCTCTACCTGATGTGCTAGAGTGTTCGCTTCCACGTTTTATTTATCTATTCTATTATCCACTTCCGATAGTTGCCTTGTATTTGGTAGGCCAAACTGGCAAAACAAGCCCTGTGTTTGGTAGGCCATAATGGCAAAATTTGTTTTGGCAGCAAACGAGAGTAACTTCCACATTGATGTGTGCTCCCGGTGCCATGAATCGCGACTTCATGTTATGTCGCATGCGATCTATGCGTTCTCCAGACCTGAGAGCTTACAATCAAATCAACATGACGACACCGCTTCACCAGGATACTCGTGGATTTTGAACAATGCAAAAAAAATAAACAGCACTGCTAAAAAGTGATGGCTAGGGTACCATAGGCTTTGCTCTTTGATCATAGCTACAGTCATGCTTTAAGATATGCTGACTGTATAATTTCGACCGTTTAATCTAATCTGGATTTCCATGTAACATGATATTTGATCTCCTTTGGCTAATTTACTAATCAGGTATTTACTACGAATGTAAAATGTGGCATGATATTGGAACTCCAATCCTTGTGCAAAATGAACAGGTCCAAAAAAAACATCCAACAGTATAGTAGGGTAGAATAAACGTTGGGCAGTGACATCATTACATATTCCAAACAAAAAATATAGTGTGCCGGTAGAAGACACCTAACAGGTTGCAAAGGCGATTCTGTCCTAAGTTTCCATGATACATCCGGAGCTCCTAGTCAGTTCGCAGTTGATATCCAAGGCAGGCCTCAAGCCTACATGCGCAGAAAAGGAGGAAACATATCAGGTGGATGTAGTAGTGAGAAATGGTATTTCAAACAGGCTATGCATAAGAAAAAGGTAAAATAAATGAAACATTTCCAAATCGAAAGAATATATTTGTATGCCATATGTGTATACCTTGCTCGCAATGTTGCTGGACAGCCAGTCCAGGCCCTCATACAGACCCTCACCAGTTGTGGCACAAGTGCTCTGGATGTACCTATCAGCAACAACATGAACAACATGATAAGTCGATAAGATATGCTGATCGCGTGTCAATATGAAGGTCACAGAAGTAATTTCCTAGTCACAGATGCTTTACACGAGAGATAATCTTAGTTTAGTTGCTTACCAGTGTCGCTGGCGCAGGGAGTGTAATCCAAGCTTGTCAGTAATCTCAGCAGCATTCATGGCATTGGGAAGATCTTGCTTGTTGGCGAAAACAAGCAGCACAGCATCACGTAGCTCATCCTGCCATCAAAACCAAATGAATTTCATTTCACTAGCACAAGATTGTTGAGTTTTCAAGGGAGTAACTTTTTTTGTCTTATTCTCACTACAGAGTACTGAAGAGGACCAAACATTTATGATATATTAACAAATAAAATATAATATAAAACCAAAAAATGTTGCATCAATTTTTTATTAAAAATGACAAATCATTTCTCGCTTATTTTATATTCCAACATCACGTAGAATGTTTTACCTCATTCAGCATTTCTCGCCACACAAAAGCTTACTGATAGAAAGCAAAAGCATAATAAAATGATCTAGTAGAAATAGAATGTTTTACCTCATTCAGCATCCTGTGGAGCTCATCTCTGGCTTCAACAACACGGTCACGGTCATTGCTGTCCACAACAAAGATAAGACCCTGGGTGTTCTGGAAGTAATGCCTCCAGAGAGGTCTGATCTGTTTTCATTAAGTAAGTACAAGTCAGTCAAAATGTGATAAAACATGTAAACAACTACTGCATTAAGATAGAGATGGTAAGCCTAGGACCAAGCACACCTTTCCCATGTCTAAGAATTGATACAATACCATAATGTTAAGTTGTTAACAATCAGATCACAGTCTAGGAATTCAAATACAAAATGAAAAAGAATGATGGCTCTGGATTCTGGAAGAACAAGTAATTAGATAACATTATGTAGTATAAATTGGTAATACAAGATGATGTTGGGGATCATACCTTGTCCTGACCCCCAACATCCCAGACAGTGAAGCTAATGTTCTTGTACTCGACAGTTTCAACATTGAAACCTGCATTTCAAAAAAAAAAAAAAAAAAAGCCATTTCCCTTGTAAGACAAAGGACACTGAAGCATAAAAACAGAATACAGTTATGTCATCATAGCATAATCAAAAAAAGTCAGGAATACAGACCACAGTAAGCATTTTTGTAACCAAAATTTAATGATTGAAACATAGGTCCTTTTTAGTGAAGCCCTCTTCAACTATTGTAAAATGTCCTTATGTTGAAAACTTGCATTACAGGCAATAGTGCTATTATTACATTGTAGTTCCATCATTCTTTACATTTTTTTCTTTCTTAATTTTGCTTTCTTCACCCTGATGATAATGTCTAAGTGAGCTTTCCCATAGTCCAAGTCCAAGAAGCCAAAATAGTAGATTTCAACAACAGAAAGAAAACTGTAGTTTTCACTGGCTACTATAAAACAATTGCATTTTTTAAGTTGGTAACAATAGATCAAGCAAGAAGACAAACATTTTATTTCACTGGCTACTATAAAACAATAGCATTTTTTAAGTTGGTAGCAATAGATCAAGCAAGAAGGCAAACATTTTATTGCAGCCACCTGACAGGATTTCATTAAGCTCTATCCTATCAGAGTTTCTGTAGACAGGAAACGAATATGATACATTAAAAGAATCCATGAAACATTGACAGTAGCATTAAAAGGCAATGAATTGTGTTCTCTAGGGTGATATTAAATGCATTTTGTTCCATCAAATCAAATATGCGGGTTATTACGTTGTACTATGAATGGCTCACACAATGGCTGCTGCAATCTTATTCAAGTATCCGGCATAACAAAACAATCATGTATCGTTTAACCCCCAACCAATCAGGTATGGATAGATCGCGCATCCTACAGATCCATCATTTAACAGAGCATTCTTCACAACCGAATCGAACATGATCCACCAACGTAGGAATCGAACACGATCCACCAACGTAGAAATCGAACACGATCCACCAAAGTACGTTGGAAAGGCAAAGGCGAGACGAGTGGGGGGCTGCTCACCGATGGTGGGGATGGTGGTGACGATCTCGCCGAGCTTGAGCTTGTAGAGGATGGTGGTTTTACCGGCGGCGTCGAGGCCGACCATGAGGATCCGCATCTCCTTCTTGGCGAAGAGCCGGCTGAAGAGCTTCCCGAACGCGAGCCCCATCCTCCCTTTACGGGTTGCCCCTTCCTTCACCACCTGCACAATCATCATCCCGTTCGTTCATTCATTCATTCCCCCGCTCAGATCTCCATGCCACAAACCCTAGCCATACAACGGATCGCGAGCCACCCCGGCGCGTCCAGGCGACGCCCGGCGCCGCGGATCTGGACCGACCCGGCCCGATCCAGCCCCGACCGCGCGGGTCGGTCGGGCAGATCACGCGCTCGCTGGCGAGCGGAGATCTACCCCTCGAGCGCGGCCGCCGGAGAGGAGGTCGGGGCAGAGAGATCTGAGAGCGCGGGGTGTCCCAGATCTGGATCCGCCGAGGACGAGGAGAGGGAGGGGAGGGGTGGGTCGGGGCGGGCTCACCTGCGCTGTGTGCTGAATGCGAAATCCGGAGGAGGAGGAGGAATTGGGGATCGGGGGCGGGGCGGAGGAGACCTGAAGAGGGGGAGGGCTGGCGGGGTGGGTAGTGGAGAGAGAGGAAGAGGGGGAGCTTCCTGGTTGCTGCCGGATCTCGGACGAATGGCTGGGATTGGTCCCAGACTTGGCGTTCCACGCTGAATCGCCGACTGGTCCCGTCCGGTCCGGTCCCAGTTTGGTTGGGTTCGGCGGCTTGTGGTGGGGACGGGGGACCGCCAACACGGCAACACCGACGCCCCCCCAGAATGGAACAATGCAAATTACTGTATTTGATGTCCAGATTGTGTGCGCACAATGCACCTAGCAGTGTCTGGTTCACAGCCGCCAAAGAGTGCCTGGACTAGGCAAGATTACCGAGCGTTGGATTTTTTATAGCCTGATGATATTGATGGATGTCTGGCTAAGAGCATCTCTAAGGGTCTTTCTAAGCTCACTCTCTAAATTATAATTTAGAGAGCAATTTACATCAAAAAATCATTTGTCATGTCTTTTCGTTCTCCAACAATCTCTCTATATTTTGCGTACACTCTAGAAAACCATTCCGTTTTCTATCTATGGTTAATGAGAAATCCGAAATAAAAGATTTTTTTCTACCAAAATCTCTATTTTTAAGAATTAGAAATGATATATAGAGTCTTAGAGTTGTTTGACAAAAGGACTCCAACCAAGTAGCCTCCAGTGGTTGAATGAAAAGTTAAAGTAATTAAAAAATTATTATTATCAACGATGTTTTTTAGCAGAATACTAATTCATAAGACATGATATCGTAAGGAAAAAGAATTAAATACGTGTACCACTTAAGCTCCATGAATTCGAAAAATGCATTTCTAGATATCACCTATAAGCCATGCAACGTTACATCTATGGCCAAACGCGCCCTACTTCATCGGTGTTTTCTTGCTGTTGTGACAAGCCTAACATGCATTTTTAGAGAGCATAAATACATCCAAGTTTGGTACACCATGATTAGTTCATATAGAGCCCATGGTGCATTTAACTCTAATGAAAAATGGACATATATTACTTGGACAATGTTTGTACTATTCCATACTTAAGGTTCGATAGTTTAATTTAAATATGCTAGTTTGGTATCAGTATGATAGAAATTGGTTTATATAGTTATGGCTTGTTTACATATTACCATCTAAATAAGTTAAAATCACACTATAAAAGAGCGAGTTTTTTTTGGAAAGCTATCCCTCTTTCATAACCATTAGATCTTGACACCGTTTCATATGAGTCTTCCGTCGTCTGAGATATTAATAACCGCTCGATCTAGACGCGTGTCATATGAGCCTTCTGTCGTCCGAGATCTTACATTACCCCACGCCCCCTTGGTCCCATGGCTCGACTCCCTCTCAGTCACGTCCTCACGTACGCCTAAGCAACGGACTTAGACATAATAACGTGTGTGGAGGAAAAATCATATGCTGTCTTTTACAAGATTTAGAGCTCTTTTTTATTTGATTTGGAGCTTTGAACGATTTTTTATTTCCTTTCCTTTCCTTCGGAGAGTAGAGTCTTTGGGCGCTTTGATTTGATTTGGACCTTTGAACGATTTTTCCTTCCCTTTCCTTCGGAGAGCAGAGTCTTTACGCGGTCCAAAACGGGAACGACGGACAAGTAAACATCGCTTCGCTGAGGCTCCTCCCGCGAGGACGAGAGTCCTGTTAGGAAAGTGCTGCCTCCCTCCCGTAATGCCCTTGCCGTGTTTTATTTTTTTCCCTGATAATAAAATAACTCTGCTTTTCCTTATAAAGATAAAGATAAATAGTAATACAATATTATGGATCTTTGAAAGTTTGACCTTTACTTAATATAAACAAATATTTCTATCAAATTGTTGGTTTTAATTAGAAACAAATTATTAATATGACATGAATTAGTCGATGGTCTAACTAAATCAATCTGTAAACTCAAATCTTGAGCGGTTTCACGTCCAATCTAATCAAAACAAATGTTTCTTCAAGCTGTCTGCATATACCAGTGTAAATCTCCAAACTATCCACATATACCAGTACAACTTTCAACAAGGACTGACATGTGGAAACCGAGACACGACAACTAAATATTAAGGTTACATATTTTATGGATCCTTAAAAGAAGTCACATAACTTAATATCTAACTCTACCAACTCATGGACAATCAGCATACAAACTCAAGTTATGATACTTTTGCGAGTAAATATTTTGTTCTTTACAATGGAAAAAAAATGTATCAAGGTTGTTTTTAATTCAATCAATAATTCATAGGATATTATCAATATTAACTTATATTATAGATATCATGATCATCATAAAATAAATAATAGCTTCTAATTATATAGAAATATAAACAGTAAATAGATATGTAGCATTGCCACCCTTGTTTCCATTAACGAGCCCCTGCGTTTGTGATTGTTGCAGCAACCACTCACAGCATCAAAAGTAACACCTACAGAAATTAAGTTATTCCAGCCGCTGCAATTGTGGAACAAGATAAAGCGAACAAGTTAAATGCTTGATAGTTTTTTTTCTCCCGTTGCAACGCACGGACATGTTTGCTAGTAACATAAAACCTTCATGAAAATGAAGTTTTCCTTTTTTTTTATTTCAAAACCCCTTCAACATTTTATCAAAATGTTCTAAAAATCAAGATAGATATAGGTGTTTATTTGTGTTTTTTCTTCGGTTTTTTTGGGGGAATATAGTCGGTAATTGTTCTTTCACTAGTGTTGTCTTCTCTTTATGTATATTCTACTCACTCTGTTTAAAATTACAGTTCATTTTGGCGTTGTTTTTAATCAAAATTCTCTAGCACTGACTAGGTTCCTAGAATTCTCAAATAACTATCGAAAATATATTTCATGGGGAAATTTAATGAGGATAACACTATGTCTATGTATTTTTTTATAAACCTGGTTGAAATTAAAGAAATTTATCTATAACAAAGCCAAAATAGACCGTAATTTGAAATAGTAAATGATATCGTGTATTTTTCTCATAAACTTGATTAAAATTTCTCTGTTTAAAATTACAATTCATTTTTGCTTTGTTTTTAATCAAAATTCTCTAGCACTGACTAGGTTCCTAGAAGTCTCAAATAACTATCAAAAATATATTTCATGGGGAAATTTAATGAGGATAACACTATGTCTATGTATTTTTTATAAACCTGGTTGAAATTAAAGAAATTTATCTATAACAAAGCCAAAATAGACTGTAATTTGAAATAGTAAATGATATCTTGTATTTTTCTTATAAACTTGATTAAAATTAAAACAAGAATATTTTCAGAGCTTGGCACTTGCCAAAGGGCACCACCGTCACCGCATCTACAAAACCTTCCTGCATGCCTTCTGAAGCAGGCAAGGAGTTGCGGCCAAGTTCTTGTGTTGACATCGTTGTAGCTTTTGCGGCAAATAGTGGTGTGAGTTTTGACCGAGTAGTAACAAGCGTGCTAATTCGACGACAAATACTCCCTTCTAGAATACATACATCCTTGGGCACGTAGGGAAGTTCTTTTTCTAGAGAATCTATTTGTCAACTTGATTCTTTGAGCGAGGTTGTCAATTGAAGTGCATGATTAGTAATGCAAGCAATCTTTGTGGACGTGGAGGAAGGTATTTTACATCAACCTCTGATGGTTCATCTTCCCGTGTATGACGAGTTCCATACCGCATCACCCTTCTGTATTCTCAGAAAACATATCACCATTCCTAAGCGCAACAAGATGTTGTAGGGAGTAGCTTCAAAATGTGGTGTAAATCTACGATGTGCAGCTCTCGCGTGCACGGTGCACCACGTTGAGATGTGCGTGCTCGTTTGATGTGCATCTCGGGAACCTGTCCTGTCCTGTCCTGTCCTGTACTGCCAACCTATCGAGTAGCACTCAGTACTTGCACCACAACCTACCCTGTACTCTCGTGGAACAAGGCAAATTCTCAGTTTCAAGGCCATGTTTAGTTTATCCAAAATCCAAACTTTGGCACTATACAAAAAGAAAATTTCCCATCACATTAAACTTATAGCACATGCATGAAATACTAAATATTGACGAAATCAAAAACTAATTACACAGTTTGGTTGTACTTTACGAGACGAATGTTTTGAGCCTAATTAGTCAACAATTGGACAATTATTACCAAATATAAACGAAATGCTACAGTAATATCTACAAGAAATCCGGCGGCGCCAACTTTGGGGGAACTAAACGCGCCCCAAGATGCATTCCAGCTCATGCTATCATCACGTGCTACAAGAATGAATGCACAATAATGTTCGGCAAAGACTGAGGAGCAGTACTGGTTAATGGAAGCTTCTTAACATTGTCTTTTGAGATTACGAGCTAATGAATTGATCTTTTGAGGTAAAATTTATAAACTCAGTATGTATTTTGCCAATATAACGTAGATTCACAACGTCGAAGGGCTGCGTCAGTTCCAGATAACCTCGAGGTTACAACAGCAACCGAAGTAAATTGTTTACCACAAAATCACTTTCCGGTTTCTGAATGGTATGCGTTGTTCTCGTTGCCACAATTGAGGTCAGTAAAAGTTGTATTAAGGATTCCAATGAAGCGATTGCAGCAACATAGGATGCATACCACAAGTTCAGTGAAAACCGTATCCAGATGTAGACAGAAAGTG